AAAAAACGGAAGGCGGAAGGGCGTGACAAGTCGAAGGCAAGAAAGAAGGAACGCAGGGTCAAGTATGTGCCTTGCAAGAAGAAGAAGAAGATAGAGCACATCTTCACTACACCAGAGAAGAAGAACAAAGGTGGTTCTGCATCCTCTCGGGCATCATCGCTAGATTCAAAGCAGAAAGCTGAAGCGCACTTGGCATCCCTTAAGGATATCCTTGATGACTCCTTTGATGACTCTAGCACGGACTCCGACATTGATGAGCTCTTGGAGGGGACGAAGGGTGGGGAAGGAGCAGAAGACTCAGGAAAGTCAGGAGGGAAAGACAAGTCAGAGGCGGAGGAAGAAGACGATTCAGGAAGCGATGAAGAGGCATCATGTGAAGCAGAGGATGAAGAAGGAGAACCGGCAGAAGAGTCAAACCAGGAAGAGGCAGATGAAGAGGGTTCAGGAAAGAATGAAAGCGATGATGATGGCTCTTCTGAAGAAGGAGAGGAATCAGAGGAAGAGGGGTCAGATGATGATGATGAAGTGGAGTCGGAGCCAGCACCGACTAGTACCTGTCACAACAGAGACAAGCAAGGCTGTGGAAGGGCTGAGAAACAGCGTTACCAACAAGAAAGAGTGGGACTGTTTCGTGAAGAAGCTCAAGTCCCATGGCGGGGCCCCAATCAATGTGAGTGAATACGCTACCAGCAACCAAAACAAAGTGGAGCTATTCAACATGTGGTTGGACTGCGGTCAGAACTGGAACGACTGTGCCCTCATGTTGGAAAGAAAAATGGAACGGAAGAATGAGGGAAAGAAGGGGTGGCAAGCGGTTCAGGGCCGCACATTGCGAGCCCAATACCCCGCAGACAAGTTCGAGAAGATCGTTCAAGCTCGAAAGAGCGCAGGTGGTTCTTGTTGTTGCTTATTTGTCTATTTTGCTATATATGTGGGAGGTGTGTTGTGCTTTCCCTTGCCCTCCCAAACCATCCCAAGTGTGTGACTGGACTATCTAAGGAAGCGTGGTTCTACATGCGCGTTGGAGTCTCCTACAAGCAAAAGGAAATCACTTCCGAGTCAATGTCTATCAAGGCCAAAAAGAACTTGGACCCAGAGTTGAGGGCTTCCCTCACCGACGCTGACGACGGCATTCTTCGGCCTGGCGCTCTTCCAAAGATCCAAACGGCTTCAGCTGCAGGGAACAAAGCTCTCCTGGATTCGCTTGCCAAGGCAGGGGCTGTCATGTTCCAATCCAAAAAAGAAAACAAGATCTAGTGACAGCCAATATCCAGTCTGACAATCAATATATATATATGGGGTCTATCAAATAGTGATAATTGTTTACTGATATATATATATATATCCAACTCAATGATACTCCAATCATATCTTTAAATCAACAAGCTTGGGTCCCTGGACTTCCAATGCCAGGTTACAGCTGCCCCCAAAAAAAAGAAGGAGAAGGTGGAAGCGGAGGAGGTGGAACCAAAGACATGGGCAGAGAAGGCCTCTGACAGCTTGGGGGACCTCTTGCAAGATGCGGCCAAAGCCAGGACACTCTCCATCAAACTGGGCCCAGTTCAGTATGCGAGTGAGTTGGCTTTACAAATGAAGAACCATGCAAACCATTTGGAGAAGTTGTATCACAACATCCGAGTGGCTTTGGACAAGAAAAGCGACGACAAGACTTACAAAAAGCTCCTCAATCAAGTCGCTGAAGGCGCCGCCTTTACAACAAAGTCTCAGGCGGGGAGTGATGGCTTCAAGGTTGACACGGTCGATATGTGTGTGTTGTTTTGTGGACTCCGTGTATCTTCTCAGAGCTTCACCAGAAACCCATGAAGGCAATCAAAACTAGTCATTGGTCAGGGTATGTTAGAGTATAAAAAGTGCTTTCAAACTCTGTGAGGCCGCAGCCAATGCATTCCTGAAGCCTCCGAGCAAGAAGAAGAAGAAGGAAACGAGTACTGGCGGCACCAAAACCGGAGACAAGGCCCAGACAAGGCCGCGGAGGTAAAGGAACCAGAGAAGTGAGCGGTGTTACCGCCTGACCAACCTTCACATCTTGATGGCCTTTTTCAAGTGTGTGTGCGCCATGTAGTGAAAGGTTCAATCTATTTGGGGAGAGACATGTGCATAGCATATGTCCGATCTTAGATCTTAGTCTTAGTGAACAGGTAGACCAGGGTAGCTGCATCATCCGTGCTTCGGCCAATGGCTTTATAGATCAGCAGGCCCCCCTCAACCGAATGAATCTTATACGAAGGAATCTAATCTTACAGGCTCAAATCATGTGTGCTGTTGAAATCTTAGGATCAAATCATGTGTGCTGGAAGTGTCTAAGAGGCTTAGTTCTTGTCAAAATGCCAAACAAGGGGGGGCCTGGCTGCCAGAAGCGTTGGGGTCGAATGCAGGCAGCAAGTGTGAAAAAAATGGATTCGTCCCATATCTACAAGAATCGTAAGGTAGCCGCATGCCGTGTTCCCACTGGCCAGGCGCCCGTGCGTTGAACTTGGGGCCAAGGCAGGAAATCGGCCGCCTTGGGCAGTCGCTGTTTCAAGTGGTGCTCCACGCATGGAAGAAACCAACACTTGCTCAAGGAAGCGAAGTCGATTAGAAGATCTACCTGAATCTGCCACAGTGAACAAACTAGTCGAACTGGTTGGGAGAGGCAAACTGTCTGTGAGTTCAGCTTCGGATCTTGCATGCTGCATGGCAACTCTTCCACACCTTTTCGTGAAAGTTTTACTGGGCCCAACTTTATGGTCACCTTATGTTTCACACCTTTGTGGTTTTTCCCACCCTTGCACTGAGGTTGTGGACCATCCACTACCCCACAGAGCTTTGCAAAGCTTCGCTGGCTTAGGGTCGAGCGGCAAGTGCGTAGCAAACGCGGAACGTGACCGTCACAGGTGGCTTCGAGGGCTGTGGGGGTTTGAGCTTCAAGCTTACGAGGTCGCCATACCTTTGCAAGTGGCTGGGTTGACAAACGGGTCTTACAAGAAACAAGTTGTTCATTTGTCTTTAGATAATTTTTT